AGAAGGAGAAGTAGAGGTGGAAAGAACATGGCCTTGGAGTCAAACCTGGCACTGAATTCCAGCCCAGCTTCTTACATGCTGTGTGACTGTCAGCAAATTATCTAACACTCTGTGTGCTGTGTTCCTGCATATTTAGAACAAGATGGTCCTATTAGAGATTTACAGATAGGAGAATTTGAGGTAACACATGTAAGGCCTGTTGAAGGTACTCGGAATAATTGCTATTACATGGCAGAGAATGGATTTTTCATTCCCTTTCATTCTCTGCATTCTAAATATGGAAATTATTCTGATGGGAGGGATGTGCAGAGGGAGTGACTGCCTTAGAAAGAGTATTAGTCAGGAATGTCTTCTCTTTATAACCTCTGTTTTCCCTTCCATGTGCAGATATAAGCAATAATACGATTATAGCAGAAGTGTTCACTCCTGTGACATACTTTTAACCTTTCTCAGCTGTCGGTGGGAACAAATGAGAACGGTAGTTGTTGCACTAATTCTGCTCTTCAGACAAGTGGCTGACATCTGCTTCACTGGGTTTTAGTTTTTACTGGTGTTGGTACCTTTGTGTGTCATACCAGAGTATTTCAAAACTTCAATTGCTTCTGCTTTGCAGGATAATATGACTCCAAAAGGACTCCCTCCTTTCCCAGGAGTCCCTCTTATGAGCACCCCCATGGGAGGCCCTGTACCACCACCTATTCGATATGGACAACTGCCTCAGTTCTGTGGACCTTTTGGGCCTCGGCCAATTCCTCCACCCTTTGGTAAGATGATCTGAACAGTAGTAATTAACTTGTAAAGCATAGTCATCTTCTTTGTCTATCCCTTTCTAAAACAACTGCAATTGCAGGTCTTTGCAATGCAGCAATGAAGCTGACTGAGTTCATAGTAACTTCTCCCCAAGTTTCTTAAGACACAAAGGGTGCTGCATTATTTCCTGTGATTAGATGGACGATCATTGTCTTTAATAGAACAAGGAAAGGGACTATTTATAGAAAGCCAGAAATATTCAACACATGTTTTTGAACATCTCTGGCTGTGTACTAGGTTCTGCAATGGATAGCAAGGTAGATAAAACACATCCCCTAATTAAGATGTGCTGTAGGGAACATATATACACAATCTACCACATAAAGCTTCTAATCACTCATAACAGAGGCATAAGCAGTGGGTCACAGAATGTTAGAGAGGTAAAGGTAAAACCCTCAACCCTTAGTTTGGGGAATACAAAGGAGGGATATATGAAAGAGAAGGTAGAATTTAACTGCTATCTAATGAATGCTGCTGATTTAATTAGATGAAGCTGGAAGACCTTTTCCAACAGGGCAAGCACCTTGATTTTTATGGCATATATTAGGCACTTGTTGAGCTACTACATAAATTTTTAACATGCAGTAGTAAACAATGGAATTTATCAAAATGTTTGTTGTAATGAAGCCATATTTAGTCTGTCTTCTCGTTATGGTATATAGTATTTTCAAGTACAAATGTATCTCAAGATAAAGATGGCAGGCCAGGCACAGTGGCTCATGCCTGTAATTCCAGCACTTTGGGAGGCTGAGGCAGGTCGACCCCTTTAGCCTAGGAGTTTGAGACTAGCCTGGGCAACATGGTGAAACCATGTCTTTAAAAACAACAACAACAACAAAAATTAGCTGGGTGTGGTGGTTTGCACCTGCTGTCCCAGCTACTCGGGGTCTCGGGGGGAGGATCGATTGAGCCCAGGAGATTGAGGCTGCAGTGAGCCATGATCACTTCACTCCACTCCAGCCTGGCTGACAGGCAAGACCCTGCCTCCAACCAAAAAAAAAGTATGACTGATTATATTAACATACCTGGCATCATCTTAATTTAACTATGTTCCTAGGAATTTACTCGACATAATTTTTGTTTTCCAGGCCCTGGTATGTGTCCACCACTAGGCTTAAGAGAATTTTCAGCAGGAAAACGGGACCTGCCACTCCACCCTCAGGAATTTTTACCAGGACATGCACCATTTGACCTTTAGGTCCTCTGGGCCCAAGAGAGTACTTTATTCCTGTTACCCGATTACCACCCCCAACCCATGTTCCCCAGGATTACCCACCACCACCTGCCACAAGAGACTTACTGCCACCAGGCTCT